TGGTAATCGTAGTCGTGGTCGTAAGCGTAATAGTAGTAGCAGTAGTAGTAGCAGTAGCAGCAGTAGCAGTAGCAGTAGTAGTAGTAGTAGTAGTAGTAGTAGGAGTAGTAGGAGTAGTAGGAGTAGTAGGAGAAGGAGTAGTAGTAGTAGTAGTAGTAGTAGTAGTAGTAGTAGTGCCCTTCTCCTGCTACTGCTACTGGCACTGACACTGCGACTGCTACTGTTACTGCTACTGCTAGTACTAACTCATGCTCGTACTCGTACTAGTACTTCTACGTCTTCTAATATTGCTATTACTATCAGTATCACTGTCACTACGACTATTACAATGAATAATTACCTTTGCTACTGCTACTGCTGCTGCTCTACCAGTAAACGACTACCATTTCCACTACGACGACGGCGACGGCACTAACATCACTGGAAGAGTTGGGAACAACAATGGTTGGGGGGACGATGGGGAATAGGAGGAGACGACGTTCGGGATGATGGATGGGGTTGTCAAACTGCCAGAACGGCCGACTATAGGAGAAACGGCGAGTAGAGAATTACTGTAAGGAGTGGGCACACACTGCGGCGGGGAACACTGGGGTGGCGAAACCACAATCGAGGGTGAGAAATACCGCTGGGAGGGCGAACGAACCCCAAAATTTGCCACCACCCACCTATTGAAGAGGTATGGATTCTAGGTTCTAGTCTTCACAGTACCAGGAAACGACATAGTTACATAGTTGACAAAAAATCAGTTGCTATAAGGAAGTGAGAATTAACAGAGCTGCCACAACATGGAGAAATGCTTTTTGAAAAAGCACGGTCGCTGAGGCTGCAGGTGGATTGATACCCAGTTGCAGTGCTGTTTGTGGAGGGATGACAACCTTACGGGCTTGCAAGTAAGCATGCTCGGCCAGCTCGAGAAGCATGGCCAGTCTTATGCGCTCTTTTGTTGCAGCTTGCAAAACAGCCCCGGCTTCCGCGCCTGATGCAGTGCCTGCCTTTGCGAACGTCGGGTCTTCTCATGAACTCGTCCCAGTAAGCAGCCTGCGTGGAAGCCAAACAACTTCGTCAACTCAAGGTCTCGTGCAAATGAACACGAGCTTTTACAGAAACACTCGCGAAGGTAGAAAGTGCAACTCCCATCTGCTTACAGGGTGCCAAGCCGTGAAGGTGCAAAACTGACAGTGTCTGACTGTTCGCACCAAGATGGCTTTCGGCACGGCACCCTGTACCTGCTTTGGGTCCCAACCGGGTCTGCAGATGGTGTCAACTAACTCCAGCCGTGGCTAGAGGACAGCTTGACCCGGACCTCGCCAGATCGCCAAGAATCAGAAGATGCGGGAGAAGAGCATGCAATTTTAGCGATGCTCACCCAAGCCCATCGACCCTTCGTTGTCCACAAGAGTTCATGATCACATCCAGGTCTCCCACTGGGAAGCTCAGGCCTGCTGCATAAGTTCCAGGAAACGCTTCCAGGTTAGCTGCCCGTCACAGACCTCCGCCAAGCTTTCAGCGCAAATGCCAGAGCCTGAGTGCAGGGCGGCTCGGCGAAAGCTCGCCTTGACGCTCAGACAGGAGCCTTTCTCGTCCTTGTCAGGGAAGAAGGCCTCATCCAAAGATCAGTCGGTTTGCAAGATCTCTGATGCTATGCTCAAGCATCTTGACAATCTTCGCAGTACTTCATAGTTCCATGTACAAGTCATTTCTATGTTTCTAGTGCCACTGTGACTGGCTGGATTCTCATATCATGAAGTTTAGCTGCAAAGCAAAGGCTGCAAAGCGGGCAGAGACGAGCAACCTGTGCCAGATCAGCGGCATCAATTACCCCATCACAGTTCCGGTCCAGGATCTCGAACACGCCTTGCAGAATTCCGTTGCTATGGAGGGGCCGCAGACCGGCTAGCACCGTGACCGAGCAGAATTGCACTTGTCCCGAACATGTTGCCACGTCTGCATATCAGCTCCACCAGACATCAAGCAAGTGACGGTCGAGCTGCGATCTTACTTTAGGGCCGGGGAGCGGCGACAGAATGTTCGGTCGCTGCGAGCCCAGTGCGGTAGCGTGGCTGAGAGGAACTCGATGTAGGTGATGTAGCCTGCACGGTGGACCCATGCCGGGTCCACTGCCACGAAGGCGAAGGCTGCTGCGATGACAGTGTCCGGCACACGAAACCGGGCAATCTTATTCAGGCTCGCAAGAAAACGTTGAAAGCAGGGCACGGTGAAGGCACAAGACTGCTGTTGAACGTAAGTCCTTGATACAGGTATGTCCTTGCTTGTTATGCCGTGGGGCGGAGTGGATGGCCAATCAACGACAGGTGGGGTTGAAGACAACAAACCAGCTGAGTCAGTGGTGCAGCACTCAGCACCCTAGTCCTGCAAAGCTTTCCACAAAGGTCTTACCACAGAACCAGGCCGTCGTCGTCCACATCCACACCGCTGAATGCACTTTCCAGCATCTCTGGCATCGGCATGCCTCGGAACACGTGCGGGCACCCGAAGCCTATAGCTGCTCCAAGCTCAATCCGAGGAGCCGCTGTCTTCGTAGAAGGCTTCCAAATCTTCCATGGACAGCCCGCCGCTGACCGACCTCCGGGCTGGTGGGTCCCGTGCGGGCATGTGCGGGCTGTGCCCTGCCCCCGTCCGTGCCTGTCAAGCTTAGAGAAGGCCACCCGCTGTGGCCGCGCATGTTCGAAGCTGTAGGCGCCGACGTGTGCCATCCTTTCCACCCCCCACACGCGGGCACTACGAGTACCATTCTTGCTGAAACCAGTGCTGCCCGAACTGCAGGAGTAGGGCAGCACGGACGAGGACCGGCTGTGCAGCAAAGGCTGTGAAGTGTCCCACGAGCTGGTCCACAATCTCCTGGACTGCTGCGTCTCTCAGGCAACACTGGCTAGGAAGTCCGCATGTCACATCTCGAGAGAATCTTGAGCCTTCCGTCCTGTGCTTGCCGATCCAGCTCTGCGTACTCAGGGTTGTGTTTGCACAATGCCTCCGCGGCCTCCTTCGTCTGGGGACTTGCAGAGCTATCTGTCTCGTCGCGTCTCTAGCTACCCTTCTTCGTCACCCGCAGTGTCGGCTGATTGATGCTGTCGCCTTGAAACCACCAAACTAGCAGTGCCCTCTGATGACGAGCAGCTCGCTCGCTGTGCAATGTGAAGAAGGGATGTTGAAGAGCCTCTCGCGCAGTGAGCCTGAAGTGCCGGTCGTGGCCTTGCATGGTCAAGCTGGCATGAACTCGCCAGTTCTGCTCAAGTTTAGCGGTCTCGTGCCTCGCAATACCAATCGGGATCTTAAGACCAAACCCGTCGGAAAAAATTATGCTTCTTCCTCCATGGTTCCTTGTTCCTTCCCGCGGGAAAGTTGATTCTCTTGCCCTCAAGTGGACATTTGGAAGAAAGTAAGAGGTGGTACTTTCTGCGTTTTGTTTGTCTATTTCTGTCCTAAGGATGTCGAGCCTTGGTGACAAGCAATATTGCCATGTCCCGAGTTGCGGTTCTACTTTCTGAAACAATCGCTGGACATGCTTAAACCTTTCCTTCTTCTTATACTTACCCACTTCTGCCCCTCCCCTCTGAGCGTTCTCTTCTTTTTCTCTTAGTCCCGTCTTCGCGTTGCTGGAGATCGCTGCTACTGTAACATGAAAATTTTCTACCGAATCCTTGCTAGAACAGTGTCAAAAACCACCCAAGTACACTGCTGAGGTGCGCATCAGCTTGCTGACGAGGTCAATTGCTTCCTGGCAGTGCGCAACGTGTTATGATTGGAGGTGATTGACAAAGAATTATGTACACGCCATGGAAAATGTGACAAGGGTGCCAAGAACGACATGGCTCGATTTCGCAGTCGGAGCCTGAACCTGTTTGGCAATGAACCATCCTTGACCCATGAAAATAACCTCATTCCCCGTGCACAACGGAAATAATCAATTCTGGCATATGCCAGCTGCCTTGGAAAGGCCTGAATCCCGCAGCACTCGCAACCTGGCCCAGCAGACTCGGTGCTCAATGGGATGCAAAAAACATGGACACTGGAAGGCTAATGCATTTCTCGTTCTCGTGAGTGTTGTCCGTGCAGATTTCTATCAAGATTCGCCAAGTTCCAACTTATTCATTCCGTCGTTCTGTGGGGCATGAACGCAAGTTACCCCCTCTCTCGCTCGTTCGCTCCCTCCCTCCCTCCCTCCCTCCCTCCCTCCCTGTTAAATACAACCATCCCTAGACTGCACCCAATGAACTTCATGAACATGATGCAATAACGAATGCTTTGATGCCGAATGGCATTGGCTCAGGACTGGATGGAGATTGGCTTGGTCGCACAAAGGAATGTCTGCGTGAGTGTATCATTGGGGAAAGTCACCGAACTCGGTTGGTTGTGATTGTTTTAATTGTGTCTTTGAATGTCTTCGACGTTTACATGGTAGCGGAGCTTCGGCTCCAAAACCACGGAGTGGGAGAATGGACTTTGGAGTGACAGGAATCGGTTTTGAGATCAAATTGCTCTCACCTCCAGTGTACCACGGTGAGCGGGGGAATGGGAAGACTTGTCATGGCAGCTCAAGCTATATGTCGGAGCGTGCAAGCCGATGGCCAAGCTGATGATGCACGATGAGGGAAGGATCGAATGTTGTCATCACGACTGACCTGTGTGAAGCATTTGATGTGCAACTGACTAGGTGTCAGAATAACCCACTGTGACTGTTCGCGAAACAGCTGGCAAGCACACATGTTGGCGGAAAGCACTGATGGCGCCGCAAGGGCGATTTTTCGAAATGAGGACACAAAGAGTGGTTTTGAGATTTGGCGCCGAATGAACAAGCAGTTTTCACTGCCCGAGAGAGCTCGAGCCAAGAGTCTCTCGAATGAGATCCTCGGCCTTAAGCTCGGGAATGATCATCTTGAGAGTGACTTGAGTCATTTCATGATCTTGAGGAACAGAGGTAGACCACACTGGACAATTGCCTTTTGATCACGCTGCTCATGCAGAAGACGATTGGTCCATTGCAGCAACATGTTCGGTTGAATGTTCGAAGCAGCACGACGTTCACGGCGGCGCTCGAGACTGTTTTCAGCTGCAAAAAGGGGAGACACCTGACTGCGCGAGTGGCAGGACTCACCATCAAGGACAAGCCGACAAGGATATAGGAGCATTGATGAAAGGAAAGACAGGACGGAAAGGAAATGGAATGAAAGGCACAGGCAAGGGAAAGACACACTGGCAAAGGAAATGGTAAAGGAATGAAAGGAAAAGGCAAGGGACAAGGATGTTGTCTATATGGTGACCAAACCACTGGAGCAAATACTGCCCGAACGGAGGAAAGCAGAGGAAGGTCAGCAGGAAAACCATCAGCAAGGTGAACGGAATCAGGAACGCAATCAAGATGGTGCCTGGCAATATGATGATGGGTGGTCTTGTCATGACCACGACTGGAGTCAAGAGTGGATCGGTTCGCTTGATGATTGGTCTGGTGACTGGTCTTGGCCTGATAGCGACTTGAGCTATTGGTCCGACGACTGGCCCTGGAACCTGCAAGATTGGTGGTATGTGGAAGTACAGAGTTCCACTGCTGCGTCCGAACCTCAGGGTAGTGTTTTTCTCAGGACCCCGCCAAGAATGAACCGACACAGCATGTAGCAGCAGTGGACTCAGGATCAGCATGCCACCAAACCTGTCAGGACTGTTCGAGGCGCAAAGCCCGGACTGATGACGAATCTGTTCGTCGGAGCATGCCTTTTGATTGGTGGGTGTCACCGTCGCCCCGAAGAATGCTCCACAGCTTGATCCAACGGGTTCTGACGATAGCGTGGTAGAGTTTCGGTTGCATGCTGGACTGGTTGACAAGTCCTGGATACTGATTGGCAGTTGATTGAGCTTGCGCGAACTGTTGTCCGGAATGCTTTGCTCCGGTGTTTTGCCGTTGAATGAGAGTGCCCCTTCACTGCGAAGCTTGTCTGGGAAGACAGTGGATGTGCAAGGTCGAAATATTGTGCAGCTTGTTTGCGACAATGGCCACTCGTTGAGTGTGCAGTTCTACGTATGCACCCAATGGTGAGTGTGGCAAATCTGCTGTCGCAGGACTTTTGGGCTGTGATGGCGAATGATTATTTGGTTTTGATTGACCCGACTGGAAATCCCATCCCGATTGTGCGTCAGCAACACTGGTGTGTTTGACGCCGACTGTCATGCCGTATGCCGTGGCAGATGCGGGCACGACTGGCAGCGAGTTGTCTTCCTGAGGCGTTGTCGGAAATGGAGTGTGGCCAGGATCCCTGAAGTTGCACGGAGTGTCCGACACGCATGACAGCTGGACTGACCATCTGTTTCAAATACAAGGGATAAAGGTATCAGATGGTTCTCGTTGGGACACATGGGAAGTGAATGAGCCCCAGTTGAAGTTGATCAGGCGTGTGAAAGTGCGGCGAAGAGAAATGTTTGATCCGAGGATGAAACTGGCGAATAAGTCGCCGGTACAAATGTCGAGGTTGACTGGCGAAAGAGTGACCTACAAGAAATATAAACGGACCCGAAATCCCTGACACTGGCGAACACAAGGCCAAATGACCCCAAAGAGTGGAAAGGACGAGTGGAATTTGGACTGAAGAACAAGCCTCAAAGCAGGCATGTGCAGCAGAGTGAACCTCGTCCATATGATCCGCGGATTGGCAAATCGCAGGAACCTGCGAAGGCTGATATTGTCGAAATGAAACCAGCTGAATCACTGGCAGCCAAACGCCCTGACAAGGCACATGAAGAGCCAGAGGAGCTGGATCGACACAAGTTCCAGTGAGTCGGAATGTTGAGGAACATGAGCTTGAGAATGCCTTGCGTTCACCGCCACAGCATGGGTCGAAGATGAAGGAGTTGCTTCTTCGACTGTTCAGTCTTGAGGACCCTATGCATCATTTGTGGCGCGACTGCTACTTTCACCCTGATGATGCTTCTCTTGTCGATGGATTTTTGAACGAATGCTTGTGCAGTGTTCGGTACACAATGTTCTTCGACTCAAGTGACCCAGCAATAATCGTTACTGGCCATCAACATGAGTAGGCAGACTTAAGCTCTCGGCTCAAAGGCTGTCGGCGTGTCGGGGCTCGCTGGGCTTCGTTGGTGTTTGCTGTTTTCTTCGGGGTTTGGGTGTGGACTTGCTTGGGAGAACGGGACTTGCCCCGAATGCAAGCATGGATACCTCCTCTGCTGCTAATGCCATGCATCTGTGCTCGATGCACGGGAGCAACAAGGTGCCCCGGTTTTCACGATGGTGGGTTTGGGAGGATGTTCTTCGTTTTCATATTTATCAGCTGGCAATGGAGCTATTACATAACGTCACGAGGCCACTGTCCATATCGGCTCGCTGCACTGTGCATAACTACTTTGCTTGCCGATGCACCCTGCTGGTATGGCAAGAGGCCTGGAACATTCTGCAACCGAAGCAGCGCATTGAGTATATCAAACGTACTTATGATATTGATGCTCAGTTCGGTGAAAGCATGCTTGGCTTTGCGTATGCAACTCAACTTGGCAGCAGGGGCAGTCTCCAGGATATGGATTAAAGCGGCGCTCTTCATTTTCATGGTGGAGCTAAGTTGCGAGGCCTCCTTTTTCAGGCTTTCATGGTGGCTGCGCTCCTTAGAAGGTGCACGCCGATTGGCTCTCATGGCGCCGCGGCCGCGGAGCACTGCGACTGGGGCCCTTCCTGCTTGTTTTCTGATTGCATCTATATGCTGTTGCCTTTTGCTTCGAAGTGCAATTGGTGAAAGCATGCTGACGCTGTGGTTACTAGTGGCTCAAACTCAACTTTGGCCCTCACAGGGCTGTGGGTTCCTCCTATCAGATGGCGAGACCAGACCTGGATGACCTTCCTTTCTGCATACGCCGAGGCCTGGAGGCTAGACGGTCCGAGACCACAACCACAGGGGAAGCGACCGATGTTGTGGCTCCCCGCGGCTCCTCGAGCACTGATGCTGCTTCTGCTACTGCACATGTTGCTTTGCTCTTCCCTGATGCTGCTGCCACACGGGAGGATCGCCCTCGGTCGGCTTCGCGCAGCCCCCGTACCCAGACCACCGGGCGGATCTAAAAAATAGATCCACATGCACCAGCGGCTCTATTTTAGCAGCAGCGGCTCTATTTTTAGCATGGCGGTTCTATTTTGCAGCAAAGCTGTAGGTTGAGCATTATATGGCCTTTATCGAGGATTCTCCTCGTT